AATTTGCTACAGTTGAAAATACTGACAGCGGTAATGCGCTGAATAATGACAGCAGACCTGATGAGCTGTGGGAGGACATCAAGAACAGCATTCATGAAGAAGGGCTATTAAGACAAAGAAACAACAATTTATAAATTATCAAGGGTTCATGAGGGTAGGAGGGTGGGGGAGAGCGAGGGTGGAGGTGGGGAATGAGCTGATCCCAAGGGCTCAAGTAGAAAGAAAATGTTTTGAAAATGATGATGGCAACTTATGTACAAATGTGCTTGACACAATGGATGTATGTGTGGATTGTATAAGTGCTGTAAGAACCCCCAATAAAAAATGATTTTAAAACAAAAAGACAGAAGGAAAAGATTAAAATGGTATGGATGTCAGAAGATATAGACGCTTGCTCTTAATGGGAAGAGTAGAGCTAAGCCAACTGGAAGAAAGGATGGAGTAGACAATGTTAGAGGGCAGCTTGAGAAAGCCAACTCACAGTACAATCTGCCAAGATCTAGAGTGAGAAAGCTGAAAAGACTAACACGCTCAACAAACAAGAAAAAGAGTCAAGCCTTAAGTTACAAGATGAAAAATTCTAAGAGCAAGATATTGAAAAATGCAGGCAACATAAAGAGGTGGAAAGAATAAGGTACCAAAAAGATTGGTCAACATTCAACCATTTCAGTAGGTAGCATATGAAGAAGAGCCAATGTTGCTGAAGGAAGCTCAAACTGCACTGAAAGCTTAGCCCAAAACAAGGCTCCAGGAATTGATGGAAGGCCGATGGAAATGTTTTAACAAGCTGATGGCAGTGAGTTTTGATTTTATCGTAATGTATACAGAAACCCTATTACCTTTTATATATTTTGTCATCTGCCATCTTATTTTACGATCTCATTTAAATCACTAAATTTGGAACCCTCATTCATTCTGATAGGAATGCAAAATAGTTGTGGAAAACAATTTGCCAGTCACCCCAAAAGCTGAACATAATATTACCATTATGACCCAGCAATCCTAATCCTGCATGTATATACACAATGTTCATTCCAGCACTATTCAGATTATCAAAAAGAGAGAAATGTCCATCAGTAGATGTTGGATAAACAAAATGGGGTACATACACTATTACTCAGCCAGAAAGGAGATGAAATCCTGATACATGCCACTCATGGATGAACCTTGAACACATTATACTTATTAGTAGTAACTGGAGGCGACAGTGGGAACAGAGCAATTCATGCATAGAGGCTATTGAGAGTTTGTTAATGTAGTGCAATAATTGGGAAAACACTAACTGTAGTGGTTACACAGGAAAAACATAATCAACACCACTGAATAATTCATGCAAAAGCTAAACAGGCAGGGATATGCTGTGTATTTTTATCCCTATTTTAAAAAGCTAAATCCCTGTCCCTAAGAAATAATTTTCAGTTAAGGCTTGGATTTCAATTTGTCAATTAACAATCTCATAATAGAAATAACCGATTAGATTATTTACTATTAGGAATACTCGAAAGCACTTTTACATTTAAAAAAAAAAGCGCTTTTGGTGAATGTTTACACGGCATATAGGGATTTACCAATCTTCATACAACTTGCTTTACAACTCTGGTTACATATTTCCTGGTCCACATTCTCTTGGTTCCAATATTGTTTCCTTTAATCTAGTTTCCTTCTCAGTTACTTCTCATCCTTGTTTTGGGTAAATGCTGACCTTTTGTCCTCAGCTGTTTATTTGAGGACAGTATTCATAACAGGTGGGGCACCATCTAATTCTTCTAGTATCAGGCTAGGTTAGGCTGTGAATTATGTAGGCTATCGGTCCTGTTTTATACGGTCTTGTTTGCCTATTTCCCACCTATTTCCCCTAAATAACTACCAAGTTACATACGAAGGTGGTGGTGATTGTTAGCAATCCCACTGATGCAATCAACCTATCCTACTCCCAGCAGGGTTTCTTTCCCAGGCTGTGATCTTTACAGAAACAAATCACCTGGTAAAGACGCTATCAATGTGGGTTGAACTTTTTTAGTGAGCAGCCAAGCACTTCACCATGTGTCCCACCAAAAAAATCAATTAAACCCACTGACATCTAGCCACCCTACACAGGGTTTCTGAGGTTGTCAATTAAGCTTTGCTGGAGTGAATAGCTTCATCTTCTTCTTCTTCCCAAGTAGGTTTGAATTGCTTTTAGCCAATCAAGACACTTATATATTTGTGTATAAGCCAAGTTTTTCAGTACATTTTCAGTGCAGTTTTTGTGATAAAATTTTAGGTGCCTTGGCTGATATTTGGGATGGCTTGTACTCAAGTAACTGCAATTGCACCACCAGAGATTCGCAAAACAGTAACATCCCTCCCAATTCACGGACATTGTTTCCATATTACAAGCCCTATACAGAGCAGAACTGTTCCATAGCTAATGAGGCTATCGATCTGTATGGAAGCAGACCACCCCAGCTTTCTCTGTGAGTGGGCTCAAGCCATTGGGAATCCCAGCCAGCAGCCCAAAGCTGCCTTCACCGTACCACCAGTCCCTAATTGTAACAGCAAGGGAAAACTCTCTACCCGCTGGCAAAATGGTAAGGTTTTTGCCAACAATTTAGTATTTTCCAATAAATTTACAGCACTTGAACCTATCTTGAAATCTTAGCTTCATAGAAAGTTGATTTAGACCAGTGGTTCTCAACCTTCCTAATGCCGCAACCCTTTAATGCATGTTGTGGTGACCCCCAACCATAAAATTATTTTTGTTGCTACTTAACTGTAATTTTGCGAGTTATGAATCATAATGTAAATGTTATGGATTTATTTTGATTGTTACAAATTGTACATAAATATAAAACAGTGATTAATCACAATGCTTAACAAACTATGTAATTATATATTGTGGAATATTTTTCTAGTCATAGGAGACCCCTGTAAAAGGGTTGGTTCAACCCCCAAAGGGGGTCGCGACCCACAGGTTGAGAACTGCTGATTTAGACCAATAGCCCTTTTTGTGGAGTTTTACCAGTTGCTGTTAAGTAGATTCTAACTTATGGCAAGCAACCCCACGTTTGAGTAGAATTGTGCTCGTTTTCAAGTGACTGATTTTTCCTAAGTAGAACACGACTTTCTTCCAGGGTACTTCTGTTCAAATCTACATGTGAACAGCCAACCTTCCAGTTTAGTGATAGCCCCATGTTTCATCTGTACCACCTAGGAATGCATACAATCGACAGGCCATGGCACTGGTGATAAAGCCAATATAGTGGCCATCTGTGTGTACACAAGTTGAACACCCACCCCTTTCGTGCTTTTAAAACATTACAACCGGGAGAGCAAACATACCACTACTTAAAAACTATACAACAAATCAATTCCATAGAAATCACTTTACAAGGAAGTAAAACACCAGAAAAGCAAATTCACTAATATTTAAGAGCAAAATTTAAGACTGATTCTAAAAATTCACAGGATGCTCTTGTAATTGTGGCAATTATTTTCTTTAAATGTCCCTTTTCTGTGTTTTTCACAAGTCTGCCATTAAAGTCCCTTTGTGGGCCAGAAACTCGACCCAAATGACGACCTTCAGGAACTCGTTAGCTTTCAGTAACTTGTAATGAGAAAATACCACCTAACTGCATCCCACCAATGTCAAAACCAGAAAATCTAAGCCAAACATACCTTCTCAGATAAGGCTTTTTTTTTTTTTTTGCAACTTCAAGTGAAGTTATAATTACGCCTAGGTTTTAATAAATGCCAGCATACTAGAAATGTTTCTGTAATCTTTAAAAATGCTGTGTCAAAAACCAACTGCTGGTTAATACCAACTTCAAAAACCAACTTCAGGGTTAAATACACAAAACTTTCAGTTGCCATAAAGTTGATCTTCATCTAGGATGGCGACAACAAATGTATCAATGTAAAACTGCTCTGTTTTTTTTCTATTTTTTTGAGGTGGCCAGACCTTATATTTATCTTAACATTAGACATGGCACTATTCGTTTGAAAATCTAAGTTACTACTTGTGTGCTATGCCATGGGCTAACCAAAGTTAGCAGTTAGTTCCAAACAGGCTTTCTACAATCTCAGAACCCCCCAGGGCAGTTCTGCTCTGTCCCAAACAGTTGCTATGAGTCAGAATCTACTCAATGGCCATGAGTTACTAAACTTGGTTTAGCAGTGTAGAAAAAACTTTTCAATGTACTTTCAGATTTTAATATTTTAAGGTGATCCTGTTAATGTTAGGTTTGGGAATTACTGATTCAGAGTACAACATTCAGAATTTGAGACTTTGTTTTGGCAAATATTTACTACCTGCAAAGTTAAAACAATAATTAGCAGTTCCAAAGATTCCCCTTTAAAGTAAATTTGTACACACAAACTTCAAGTGATTAACTGAATGGATAAAGTTGATAATAAAGACCAAGAGCAAGTATAGTTTAATGCATTTTAATAGCAAACTTACAGGAACAGCACAGAAGACAGACAACATTAAAAACGTACTTGCGCATGTAGGACAACTTAGTTAGAAAAGTATAGTGAATGGATGGAATCTACCGTATGATAAAAATGCTACAAACACCATTTAGTTGCTGTCAATAAGAAATTTACTTGTTTTAAAAAAATCCAAATGCTGGCATTGTCCAGAAAAATTTAACAGGTTTATTTATAATTGTTATAAAGTTGAACTGTTGAAACGCGTTCACTGAAACATCTTGACTTGCATTAATGCTTTATGTCCCCACATTATATTAAAAATTCACACACAAATGAAAATGAAAAACTGCCAATACCTGATTTCTGTCCCCTATTTTTTCCATTCGCAATCATATGCTTAGGTACCTTTTGACCCCATGGGAAAAACAAAAACGAAAAACCTAACGTTCAGAACTACCAGTAACAGGAAGAGAATCTTTTTTTTTTT